AGCGGCTGGTGCTACATAACCAAATGGTGATGAAATACAAACAAATTGTTCTTTAGTTGCTAATAAATGATTTGAATTTTGTGTGATAAACGCATTTCCAAGTTCTTCACCAAATTTTTGTGCTATACTATGATCACCATATTTGTATTTTGAATAGGCAATTGTATCAAATGGTATATTGTGAATATCATCAATTTTATACAATGAAAAACGTTCAGTAAACGGCATCGAGACACACCTTGTTGTTGTTTTTGTTTCAGATTTTATTATTTCAAAACTAATAATTTTTTTCATCCTATTCTATTCTAGAATATAACAAGAAAAAAAATTTTTTTTCTCAACAAAAAAAAAGAAGATTTCCTTTCACAAAAATGTTTTGGTGTATACACACACATATCTCTCGCTCTCTTATACTTATTTATATTCATTTTTGAATTAAAATTTCAGCAATATTGACAAATAAAATTATGATTAAATTGATTAAAAAACTAATAGTGTATGTATCAGATTATTCTATTGTTTTGTTGAAACTAAAATATCATTTGTGATGACATTGATGAGAAAACAGATAAAAATTCATCATTTACTTGATAATGAATACTAATAATTCAGAAACAGAGTTCAATATTAATAAAGAACGTTTAAAAATGTTAAAAAAATTTAGTTAACAATGTATAGTTAAGTGAATGATTTGACAATTACTAGATTTGCGTGAGGTTTTAACTACTTTTTTTTTCTGGTTTTCCAGCGGAAAATAGTAGTAAAAAAAAATATATTTTCTCGTTCATATTTATATTTTAATAAAATGTCATATATATATATATATATAATTAATCTATATGTGACTGATTTGACGTGAGAAAAAAACATGTCATTGAAGGAGTATTTTATTCTTCAGAAACGTTAATACAGATTAATTATTATTATCTTATAGCTAAAATGGAAAAAATATCATGTAAGTCTTCTTCCTAGTATAGGTTAGGGAATATTTCACAATAAACATAAATAAAAGATAATAAAGT